AGGAGCTCCAAAAGTGAGGGGTCACCCAGCATGTAGCAGCCTCATGTAGTAGGGAGCCCTGCCTGCTTTCCTGAGCCCAGACAGCGCCAAGGACCCTGGACAAATCAAAGGACTTGGACCCCAGCCCAAAGAATGCCCTGGATTGGTGAGGAAACTGAGGCAGGGACATGAGTTTAGTGTTTATTGCTTTGTATGATCTGTACTCCCCTGTGCTTTACATGACTGAATATAAAAGAACAGAAAGGTGTTAAACTGTGCGAAGTGTCTGTGTTGACTGCTTCAGAAAAGCTGCATGTCCCTGAGAGTGTTAAAATGTAAACTGGAAGCTTCACACCTTTGGAAGAGGGGTGTACTTAAGTAACTGGAGTATTTTGGGGGTCAGCACTGGACCTGGAAGCCTAAGACAGGTGGGCTGAAGACCCCCAATTCTGAAAAGGGATAGCAGACACTCAGTGCCAGGAAATGTGCCAGGGAGGCCAAGTGAGGAACCAGTGCTGCAGCCTGCAGGGGCTTTGGAAGCTTAACACACTCCAGGGGATCCAGAGTGCACAAGCGTGACTTCCCCTCACAGTAGTCCTAGTGGGTGGCCAGGAGGGGACACTTGCCAGGATCTGTGAGAATGGCCAAATGAGATTCCCCACCATTAGACGCTTCATTCAAAGTGACTGATTTTCAAAGATTCAGGGATGGGATAACGAGCTCAATCTGTTTTGCTGTTCACCATATTAAGAATGAGTTTATTTTGCTGGGAACTTTTATGCTAATGAAGGCTGATCTTGACTGCTTTGATGAAGAGAGAACAAATTCTTTCGAGGGCTTCATGAAACTGGCCTCAAACTAGAATATTATGAAACTGGCATTTCCAAAAGACAGGTTAGACTGTACAATGGGAACAAGACTAACACATCAGTTTGATACTTAAGTCTTCTCTTTTGACAGAAACACCTTTTGTAATCTCATATCAACTAGTATGTAGATGTTTCTGTGATTATTAGCTGACTTGTGAAAATGTTTGTTATCCCTTTATTGCAGGAGAAAGACAGTTGCCGCTATTTCCAAATGTCTAATGGATTAATTTGGAAGTCCTCCAAGAAGGGGCAGATATGACTTCCCTTTTTTCTGAGGTCTACCACTAAAACCACACACACTTTGATGAATATTTGGCCAAGTTTAGCAAGACCAAATATTAGAGCCTTATACCAACAGTGGTCTTGGTCGTATCAGAAGTGGAGCTATTTCCTGTGTGAGGTTCTTATTGGAATATATAGGTATGCTTACCTCATGTAAATACAGTATAGGTGACTGTTCTGAGAAATTGATGCAAGGGTATACCTTAGAGTTTCTAGTTTGTATTTCAATTTCCTTATAATATATTTTTGTTCAAGTTCTTTAGACCTAAGACAGTCTGATCCCCCTAGATTGTACGGGCAGGAAAAAAAAAAGACAGCAAATTCCTTGATAGCAGGGCTGATTCTATTGCTCAGCTCTGCAGCACATATATAATTACTTCTCTGGCTTGAGTGTATTTGGTATATATGGAGTGGGGGAAGGAATCGGTTGTGTAACATCCTCTGAAGGTCTAAGGTATAAACCTTGCTCATATTATGGAGGCCCCTCTTTATGGGAAATACAGAAGTTACTGTTTCATGAAAACAGCTCAGAATCTACCTTCTCTAATCTCAGCTTCACTCTTCTCTGGAATAGTTGTCTCCTCTATCAAAGAAGGCGAGTAGGCATTCATTCTGAACCTACACCTTTTAGCCTAGTTTAAAATCCCTTTTCTGTTTCCTGAATCAAGGAAGCTTCCCAACTGAAAACAACAGAAAAGAACAAGATTATGGCATGTAAAATGTTGATAGAAATCAAGAGGAGTACAAGTGAACTGAAGGACCAAATACCCAAAGACATAAAGGAGAAAATCGATGAGAGTGGTATGCTGGTCTACCAGGGATTAAAGACAGCAATCAAGGGGGATAGGGGAAATGATGCAAAAAATCCATTTAGCTTCTCTGCAATGTTAATCACAAATGATACTGGGGAGATATCTATCCCCAGACCTATTCTTTTCATGTAACAAAAAGAAGTCACTGCCAGGCTCAGATGTCAAAGGAGGAAATGTAAAGAAGCTGATAAATTAAAGAAAAAACAAGTACCAGGATCATCTGGTATTCATCCAAGGATTCTGAAGGAATTTAAGAACGAAGTGTCTGAGTTGCTAACAAACATATGCAATCTTTGATTAAAATCAGCTAATACACGAGACGCATGGAGGATAGAGAATATTGCGCCTATCTCTAAGTAAAGTGTGAGGGATAACTGGTGGGTATTACAGCCCTATTTCAGTACTAGGAAGTGTGTTTGAAACCATTATTTAAATAGAGTTATAAAACAACTAGATGAGTGGATCTCAATTTTTCTATACCATAACTCCATGCTGTAACTAAAAAGTTTCAGAATCCTTTTCCATCCAGCCATAATGGAAGGGAGGGTGGCTGCAACCCCCTAGGTACATAATTTCAGATTCAGAAGCTCTCACCCAGGTTAATATATTATAGGGACATATCAGCACAGTTTATGTGAAGAAAAACTGTGCCCCTTTAATCTGCTCAACTCTTTATGCAGGTCAACGAGATAGACACAGGAAAACCAGCTGATGTAATTTATTTGGACCTTCCTTATCATTCTCTTGTGAGGAGGTTTCGAAACTATGGGCTTGTCTTCCCTGAAAGTTATCTTCAGTTAGTACACTTGAGCTACTGCATTTGAACTAGCCTAGCTCTAGTGAGAACTACCAGTGGCAAAACAACACAGATTTGATTAGCAGCACAGAGTGACTGGATTAGTTGCTGAGGGGCTGCTTGTAACAAACTGTTATATCCCCACTGCATTATTAGCTTGAGCAGCAGCACCACAGGAGTGTCAATCAACCCTCCTGAAGGACCAGCTGATTTGAACTTAAAGCACCACCTTGAACGAAGGTTTTTTTGTGCATGGAGAGGAGTTGAACTAGAGTTAATACTCAAGTTATAACTCAAGCTAACTGTGCTGCGAAGACCCACCTTAAGTAATCAACGGTGAAAGGTGAAGTTCAGAAACTGGCAAAGAGAAAACAAAATCTAAATGTTGAATTTTCAACACAGAAAAAGGTTATGGTGGATGCCCCATGTAACCATACTATGTACAATGTATTTATTAAGTGATCTGGAAAAGTGAATCAGTAAACTGTGAGGTGGCAAAATTTGCATCTGACAAAATTATTTAGGAAGGTTTAGGACCACAGAAGATGGAAGAACTCCAAAGGTACCTAACAGAGGGTTAAATAGAAAGCATGATGGCAGACTAAATCCAATGTTGATAAATGCAAGGTAATACATAAATAGTTCAAACTGGTCCCTCCAATATACATATTGGATTCTGAATCAACTGTAACCACGCAAATAAAAGACATGTTCACTATTACGAATATATCAATGAAAATCTCTAATCAATTTACACTGGTGATCCAAAAACAAACAGAACATTGGGAAGTATAAAGAATGGGATAAAAAATACTGAAAATATGCCGTTTTATAAAAAAATGGCACATTCTCACCTGGATACTGTATTCAACTCTGGTCATCCCATCTCAAAAAAGGGTTTGGCAATGGCCAATTAATACTATTAAAATGATGAAAAAACTTGGAGACTAGAAAGATTACAACTGCTTAATTCAGAGAAGAAAAGAATAAGAGGGGATATGGCTACAGTATATAAAATGATGAATGGTGTGGAGGGTAAATTGGGTGCTCGTTTACTCACTCATAATATAAAAACAAGGGTCATTCAATGAAACTCAATTTTTAAAAAATAAAATGGTTAATTCACTTGTGGAACTCATTGCTTCATCACGGCCAAGAGCATATTGGATTCAAAAGAGGATTACACATTTGTGTAGACCATGAGATAATCCAGTTTCACTAAATAGCATAAAACACAAACTGTATAAAGGATATAAACCCCTGAGTTTCAGGCCATAAAGCATCCACTAACTAATTTAATAGGCGTTAGGAAGAAACTTCCCTTATAAATTCCCCCCCCCCACCGCACTTCTCTTTGAAGCTTTTGGTACTGGTCATCGTCAGAAACAGAACACCTGAGTAATTGAACCAGTGGTCTAAGTTGTATGCCAATTCCTAAAAGATTTCTTTTCCTCGTTTTTGTACTCAATCACTTCTTTTGCACTGATTCACCAGTTTTCCCATCAGTATACTCTGATGCAACCATGAAGTGCTTGGTCTGGTTATCAGCCTTCAACAAATATCTCCACAAATACTTCCCTGGCTACCATGTGGGACGTGTGCAAAACAAGAAGTCTGATACAATGTTGCCACTAAGGAGATCATATAGAGAATAGATTTTAAATATTTTGGGGGGTTTTTTTAGGACATCTTGAAATACAGAATCACTAGAAGTCATGATGCTTCATGCAAACTAGGTGGAAACTGCTGATACTTGTGAACCTGCTAACGATGCTTCATAGTTGGGACACAAGGCCAGTTCTACTCAGTCTGTCAGTTCTTTGAGGAGGATTATATTATCTTTACATAGAGATGCCATTGCTACCTACCTTTTGGAGGATGACAATGTAGATAGCTTTGGAGCCTTAGGAGCATATACAATTTCTGGGTTTGCTTATCTGGTCTTTTGGGTTTACTGAGGCGTTCTATTAATACATCATTACATTTTACAGAGAGTGGGCTAGTACATATAATTTTGTATGATTTTGCTGCTGTCTACTCTCTTGAAAATCCGCCGACTCAAGTTCTACAGGATCTCTAGGGAAACATCTTTTAAAAGATCTGTTAAAAGCACCTGGAAGGAAGTGTTCTCCTGGGTTCCCACTTCGGATTTCTCAGCTTCAAAGGTAACTCACACTGAACTCAATTGAATACAAAACATTTTACACAAAATAGAAAGTGTTAAAATTGAGGATTCCCTCCCCCCAATTAAACCCCTTTTACCTTTTCATCTCCTTGTTCAGGAACATGCCAAAACCAACATTCCACTCTCTCACAGCCACGCAATGTACTGAAATAAAATCTGCAATATTTACGGGGCAACTCAATCATCCCAAGGTTCTGCTGGATCAGATGGGAAACCTAAACATCAGATAAATGGAGGGTTACTTGCCTATAACTGGAGGTTCTTCGAGATGTATGGGGTCCCTGTCTGCACCATGCACCTGAGTCCAGATATTTTTCATAAGCACTGTCCATTGGTCAGCACATTTGCAGTTGTTCTCCTCATGCTATGACCTGAGGTACTAGGGCAGTGCAGACCAGCACCGCCCCAGTTCCTTCTCCTGCCACAAATCTAACTATGATCTGCAGCAGAAGAGACAGAGGACGGGTAGTGGAATACAGATAGGAACCACACATCTTAAAGAGCCACCTGTTACAGATAAGTAACCTCCATTTCTTCTTCAAGTGCTGGTTCCAATCTGTATTCCACATGTGGGAGATTAGCAAGCAGTAGTCAAACAGGAGGTAGGTGCAAGAATGCAGAAGTGATGGCTGTCTAATATTGCTGTCCCTATAGCTGTGTCTGTAGCAGAAGACTGGAACAAAGTGTGATGTTAAGGAGCTCCAGGAAGCTGCCCTACATATCTCTAGTAGAGGTACGTCTTGCAGAGATGCAGCAATGGTCGCTTGGGCTCTGGTGGAATAGACCCTCATCCTCCCCAGGGGAGGGATGTGAGCCAGTGGGCAACACAGGGCAATGAGATCCATTTAGAAAATCTCTGCGCAGATATAGCTAGACCTCTTCATCTCTCTACTATGGTAACAAAAAGTCTAGGTGTCTTTCTAATTGCTTTTATTGTTTATAGATAAAAGACCAGTGCTCTTGGGATGTCTAGAGAATGAATCATTCTTTCCTCATCAGAGGCATGCAGTTTCACAAAAAATATCGATAAGTGGATGGTATGACTCGTGATATTCTGAAATTACTTTAGAGATGAATTTTGGGTGTGGACGAAGAGAGACCTTTTCTTTGTGGAAGATAGTATATAGTGGGTTTGCTATGAGTGCTCCCACCTTGCTGACCCTTCTGGCTGATGTGATGGCAACTAGGAAGGCAACTTTCATCAAGAGATGGGATATAGAACATGAAGCTAAAGGTTCAAATAACGAGGCTGAGGTCCCAGAGGTGTTGGCTTCATCAATGATGGGAAGGATCCAATAAGTCCCTTCAGGAATCTAGTCATCGTGGGATGAGTGAAGATGCTCACCACCCCTCCCATCACCTCTGGCCCCCGCTGCCTCCCCTAGTGCCCCACTGCCCCTGGCTCCCGCTGCTCCATATCCACCTCCCCATCCAGGGCTCAATATGTCCCCTGGATTGCCAGGGATGAGTAAGTCTGCTATGAAAAGTGATATTTGTGTGTTGGTTAATATCACTTTTCACAGCAGACTTAGTAGCTAGCAAGTCTAAAAAAAAAAGCAACCAAAAAAAGCAAAAAACAATAAAAAAAAGGACAAGAACGTGCAAAGCATCTTATTTGTGTTTCTATTCTGTTTAGGTTCAGTAAAGAATAGAGACAACTGTATGTTATTTTTATTATTGATTCTTAAAAAAAAAAAAAAAAAAAACCACACCACACCCTAGATAAATAAACTACAATGATTTGGGACATGCATATGTGCATATTTATTTGTTTTTCCTAAAGTTGATTAAGTATTTTAGGAAAAATTGTCAGAGCTAGTGGCCGTACTCTGAGGCCACCAAAAAAATTTATTACGAGAACCCCTGTGCCAAATGAACCCAGAGAGAAGTAATAGAGAGATCCAATGTGTTAACAGTAAATAGATAGTCTAAAATAGCAGGGATCCCAGTAGAATCTGGACATAACTGGTATTGCTGTGCCCAAAAGGAGAAATGCTTCAACTTTGCTAAATAGAATCTTTCCTTCTTTGGTTGAAGACGGATTGAAATGCCCTGGAACTTAAACACTCTACATCTGATCCCCATACAAATACCAGGCCTTGAATTGCAGTGGTTCTAGGTTGGGGTGCCTGAAGGTGCCACTGTGTTGCATTAGCAGGTCTGGAAATGGTTGGATTTTGATGGGCAGACAGACTGAAAGTCTCAGTGGGTCTGTGAACTAGAACGGTCTCAGCCAACTGGGCAAAATAAGGATGACTTGAACCCTTTAATGACATTTTTTGCAGGACATGTGGTATTAATGGGATGGGAGGGAAGGTATACCTGAGGTGGTCCTTCCATGATAGTGGAAGGGTATCTCCCTTTGAGCCCGTACCTAGAGCTGCTCTAGAGCAGTACAGAGAAAGTTTTTTTTGCTGCTTGTGAGGTGAAAATGTCCCAAGATGGTATTCTCCTCTAGGTGAAGATCTTATTCAGGACCGAATCATGAATTTCGCATTCATGGTCCTCAGAAAATCATCCGCTGAGACTGTCTGCTGGGGAGTTCTGCAAACCTGGCAAATATGCTGCCGAGAGGGTTATGTGAAGTCTGATACACCAATTCCAGAGAATGACTGTCTCTACACACAGAGGAAGGGATCTTGTTTCCCCTTGTCTATTTATATAAAAGACAGTCATATTGTCTATCTGGATGTGCTGGGACCAGATGAGTGGATGAAAGCACTGCAGGCTCAATAGACAGCTCTTAGTTTCAGTAAATTGATAGGCATCCTGGACTCCCAAGGGATCTAGCTGTCTTGTACAGTATGATTGTCCATATGAGCTCTCCAACCTAAGAGGGAAGCATCAGTAATGATGATAACCTAAGATGTAGGTGTGAGGAAAGGAATTCCCAACTTGAACTTTCTCTGGCTTTGTTCACCAGATGTGAGAGGCCAGAACCTGGATGAAATTGTTACTTTGGCACTGATGTTGACTTTTTCTGGTGAGTAGACAGACTAAAGCCAGGTCTGCAGGCAACAGAGATAGATGGAGCCTGGCAAATGGTATCATGTGAGTGCATGAGGCAGAGGAGGAAAAGGCAAGTTCTAATTGAAGTCTGAGGGTGACCTGTTTTATGACATCACCGCTGGCATGGAATCTCTTGATAGGCAGTTGCTGTAGTCAAGTCCCAGGTTGCTCCTATGAAGGCTATGGACTTGGTGGGGGGTTCAAAGTGGACTTTTCATGGTTGACACAAAGTCCGGGGGAAGGTAGAAAAGCAGGAGTCAGGTTGCCAACTGGACATCCTTGTATGATCTGCCTGTAAGTAGTCAGTCATCAAGCTATGGGAAGTCGATAAAACCCATTTCTTCTCACCCACGCTGCCACCAGTGAAAAGACTTTTATAAAGACCCTGGATGTCATAGTTAGCCGGAATGGAAGGACTCATCTGTTACTGGTCTTGACCAAGGAGGAACATGAGGAACCTTCTGTGAGATGGGTGAATGTTTATGTGATAGTATGCCTCTTATGTCAAGAACCACGAACACCTGCTTTCTCCCAAAGAGGGAATTATTGATGCCATTGTGACCATGTGGAATTTTAATTTTCAGATGAATACATTTAGCCAGCATAGGTCAAGAATCGATCTCCATCTTCCGTTCTTTTTGGGGACTAAGAAGTATGGGGAGTAGAATCCTTTCCTTTGATGTTGAGGTGCAACTCTTTCCATGGCTCCCTGCTGGAGAAGGGAGTCCACTTCTTGACACAGATTTTCTTCGTGAGAGTAGTCCCAAAAAAGCAACTGGGAAAGAGGCTTGTGGGTTGGGGTGGCCAGAAACTCAGATAGCTGTAATGGAATAATTTCCAGTTTCCATTTGTCTATTGTCAAAGCCCTTCAGTTTTGAGAAAATTGGGTAAATTGTTCTTTACAAAACTGAGGGGCAGTGTGATGTGGCATTAATAAAGGGTCTGGAGAGTCCCATCAAAAAATTATTTGGATGTGGGTTAGAGTGAGGTGTAGCAGTGGATGTCGCAGAAGCTGTGTATTTGGGCCTTTGTACCCCCTGTCATTTGTGTGATGGTTCCAGGGAGCATTGATGGTAAAATGGTTTTAGAGGTGGTCTTGCTCTGTGCCTGTACTTGAGATGCTTCCTCTTAGGGGCAGGGGCATAGATACCCAGAGAACAAAGCACTGTATTTGAATCCTTGAGAAAGTGGAGAGATTAATCCATCTTTTCATTTAACAAGTTAACTGCCTCAAAGGGCAGATCCTGAATGGTACTTTTCACCTCTCTAGGGAAACCTGAGGATTGTAACCAGGAATCTCTCCTCATGACAATGGTTGTATCCATCCCTCTGGACACAGTGTCTGCAGCATCTACTGTGGCATGGAGAGAGGTTTTGGCCACTAATTTGCCTTCATTAATTAAGGACTGAAACTGAGCTCTATCTTCCTGAGGGAGCTTGTCCTTTAAATCCAACAACTTTGCATTATTAGTGAAATCATATTTAGCTAGAAGGAATCTGATAATTAGAAATTCTAAATTGGAGAGAGGCAGAGGAGAAGACCTTTCTCCCTGGGAGTCATTGGGTACCTCCATCCAAGGGTGTAGTTTTGAGTTGTTGTACTGCGGATCTTTTAGTAACTGCTTGTACCACCAGATAATTCAGCAGTTGGTGAGAAACTAGAAACTATGCCCCCTTAGATGGAACGAAGTAGCACTTCTCAGCCCTCTTTGGGGGAGGGAGTGCAAGAAGTAGGAGCATGCCACATTGTTCTAGCTGGATCCATAGTGGCCTCAATCTGGAGGTCTACTCGACTGGGACCCAAAAGTTGCAAGATGTCAAGCAATCGATGTTGGAGCTCCTGAACCTCTTCAAGCTGTATCTGGAACTCAGCTGCCACCCTTTATAGGAGCACCTGACTGTAGTCATCAGGTGAAGATGGGGTATTCTCATCTATGGAAGATGAAGAAATTGCTCCCAGAACTGTTGGATCTAGTTCAAATTCATCTTCTGCATACACCACTGGGGCCAATTGGTGTTAGCCAGGAGATGGTAAGTAAGGCAAATGTATTGATCCTAGGTGCCTACAGTAGAGATCCTGAGGACCCCAGTAATGTCAGTACAAGGAATCAACCAGCTGAGAACTACCATCTGGCACTGGGTACCAAATGTCTCTTGGAAAGTCATATATGGTCACAGAACAGAACCCAGATCTCTTAGGGCTTCTGTCCAGCCCTCTTTCTGTATGATAGAGTAGGGGCTCTTCTGAAATCTCCGACTCATCGGATGAAAAAGCTGGATCCCAAATTTCCGCTGGAACCAACGGTACCAATGATTGAGTACTCAGGCTCACGGGTGGAAGAGGACAGTGGCTCTGTGTCTCCGGGATAGCTTCTTCCTCCAGTATAACTGTCTCCGAATAAAGACAGACCTGAGAGGAGGGAGGAGTGAGAACAGAGGAGAACAAAAATGTCCTCTGGGGAGATGTAGGTCTCAGAGTGTTCTGGGGCACAGGATGAGTCAGTTAGTGGAGCCATTAGATCCGGTGCTTCCCTGGTCACAGTAGAAGTCAGATTCCTCCATGGTGGTTATGATATTGGCACAGAATCTGATCTGGATGTCCAAGGGAGTAGTGGCGGATTTTTGTCTTTCAATTTGCACGTTGAAACTGGTATAGAAACCAATGAATCTATGCTCCTTTGCATCACTTTCCCCTCTGAAGAGGTTTACTCAGGCCTCAATCTTTAGGACCCGTGCACGAGAACTCTCCCAACTTTGAAGGAATAAGGGAGGAATCTCTTTTCTCTGGGGCAGATTTGGAAGAAGGCAGATTGTCTCTTCTTAATCTCATGAGAAGCCTTCTCCTTATGCTTGGAAGTTTTAACCTGATCTTGTGCTCAAAGGGGCACTGCCTGTTGATTGAGGTTGCTATACTGGGGCAGAGGGGTGTCTCCATCAAATGCTTTTTTAAGTCTTCGCTCTTGACCATCACAAGTTCTGAGAGAGAAGGAATGGCAAATGCTGCATTTATGTGAGGCTCACATTTCAGCTATGCAGTAAGGGCAACGTTCATCACTCACTGAAAAGGAAACACAATTCCTGAACCCTAGTTATAATCCTAGCCTCCCAGGAAGAATTTCCCTAGGATGGGGGAAAAAGAACTACACTAGTACTTAAGACCAAAGAGTAAATGAACAAAATAATGAAACCATTTACAGATTGAACAGTCAAAGGAAGCTGTGGACAGAAGCAGATTCTGACTCAGGCCATGTGGTGGTACGAAGGAAATGGAGAGGATGCTGGTCCGCACTGTCCCTTATACTCTCAGTTCAGAGTACAAGGAGAACTGCGCATATGTGAACCAATGGACTCTGCTTACTAAAAATCTCCCGACTCAGGTGCATGGCACACATGCGTACCCACATGTGTAAAACACATAGGGACCATCACTCAAAGTAGTATAATAATTTCTCCTTTCCATCGTTCATTAGAAAAGAAGTGTATTTACATTTTAGAAGAAGTTAGACACTAACTATATTTTAAAGTGTAACAGACAAACTGATGAAAATATAAAAAAACCCTAACACTGTGCTAGGCACTGTACACACACTCACCATAAGAGTCTCCACCCCAAAAAGCTTATAATCTAAATAAGTAAAACGGACTACGAGTGGGAGAAGTTATGGGCCCAGAGACTTGTCCAACGTCACACAGCAGATTAGTGACTAAACTGCGATGATATCCCAGGTCCCCTTATTCTCAGTCCTATGACCAATCTAACAGACGTTGCAACTTCTGCTAAACCTTAAAAAATATAAGCTACTATCCCTCCCAATTGGCAAAAAACATTGTTTTTCTAGTGCAGCAAAAGCCAACACGGCTGCATTTTGAACATCTGTTTGCTCATCACTGATCATGCCCTTTATTCACTAAATTTATTCACTATTTATTCTCTAAATTATACCATTTTTAAGGTGGTTGAAGTTTTGGCTGATATCTAAGTATTTTTATGAAGAACTGTCTAAATATCCATAAAGAACAAAATTAACCCAATATTACAAGAGTTTGTTAAGTGTTTAGCAACTTACCACCACATTTTTGTCCATTTTCCATGGTTCATAACAGTCAGAATTTGGCAACGGCAAAAGAGAGCTTTTTCCTGAGTATCTGAAATCTAAGATTCAGGACAAGAATATTTAATGGACTGCGTAATAAAATGGGTCATATACTAGTCATGAATCTTAGTTTTCTTTAAATTTATCAAAACCTTATAACAGCTCATTACTATTTTCCTTTAATGACATTTCAGGTTATTTCCTATATATGTAAGACAGGCCTACTTTTTGCACTATAACAGGAAAACTGATCAGATATACTATAAATATTTTTACCATGAAAATTTAGAATGACTTGAATAAAATCATATTTATCTATACACACATCATGTACACACCATCCACCGTATAAGACATAAGACTTTTTCCTTTGGATAATAGTTAATACATGTGTTGGTTATATATTTGAAAAAACTTTTAAACTAAGACTTTCAAACAGTGAATAGTGCTTTTGAGTGCCTCAACTTTTGGGTGCTCAACTTGACTCCTTGAAAGAACCTGATTTTCAAAGGGTGGGTGCTCAGAACTTTCTGAAAATCAGACCCATTTATGGGGTCTCAAGTTGTGCACCCAAGAACTGAGGCACCCAAAAATCACTAGTCACTTTTAAAAATCTTTATATTTCTTATTCCAAATAACTAACTGGGAATATAATGAGCAAAATAATCTTATTGCTCCAGTCACAATTTTTTCCCCCCTCCCCAGCCTCTCCCTGGGTTCCTCCAGTTATTTCAGAAAGTATCATTTAGAGCTTTTTAGATTTACTATTTATTTTTTCAACCCTAAGTATGGGCAATCATTCAAGAGCAAATGTTTTCTGAGGAGGGAGTTCTGTTCACCCACATTAAATCCAACATATCTGATAACTATCTGACTCAAATCAGAAATGACAGCGAATGCATATTAACAGTTTGAAAAACCCGATTTTAAATAAAAATAAAATAAAAAAAACCTTAGACCACACAATATGCAAAAATCATGCTAAGAGGCTGAAATGGAGCCCCCTAACAAACTGTCTTATCTAGACAAATCAAATATGCAGATACACCTCTACCCCAATATAACGCGACCCGATATAACACAAATTCGGATATAACACGGTAAAGCAGTGCTCCGGGGTGGTGGGGCTGCACACTCCGGCGGATCAAAGCAAGTTCGATATAACGCAGTTTCAACTATAATGCGGTAAGACTTTTTGGCTCCCGAGGACAGCGTTATATCGGGGTAGAGGTGTATTATGGAAGAATTCTCTCTAAATGCTAGCTAAGGGGACAATACGATCAAGTTTCTGAAGAAGCATGAACCCTAACAGCTGAAGTTAAAGTGCTCTAATTAAAATGTAGATTAAATAGAGTATGAAGCTAAAGCGCAAGCTACTGAATTACAGAATAAAATACCATTGATCCAGGGTTTCAGTACTGTCTCTTCCTGGTAGGCATTTATTTGCAGGGATGGCAGTTGCAATCCTAACTGAAGTTCACTGCTCACAAATTCTATATATTTAGAATCATTGCTAAAAGTAAAAGAAAAACACATGTTTAACAAAATAAGACAATTGCTTCTCTAACGCTTCATGTCACGTATTAACTATAAAACACTAGATAATTTCTTCAACAATTAAAGCAAAACTTAAATATTCACTGTAAATTTAAGTAGCTGAAGAGCAATCCCCCAATATTGCTTTAGTGAAAGATGATCTCAACTTGTCCATAGTTATATTAAAGCAGGGAGAAGGCGATAGCAACTATGTAACCAAGAGTCAAATGCAGTAACTTGGTGGAGGGAGCACCTGTGAACCACTGGTTTAAAATTCTGCCATTAAACTAAAAAGAAGGTTGGGATGATTGTGCTGTATGCTTGAGTTAACCCCTTTTCTACATACTGCTAAATCTTCCCTGCCAGAAATGAAATCCGTGGGGCTTACAAAGTTGCTTCTGAAAAGCAAATCTTATTTTCTTCTAATGGACCAATTACACTAAAAGGCAGAATTTTTTAAATAATATTTCAAAGGGAAAATACTCCTGAGCCCCAATTAAGTGTTCTACCTCACAACTGATTTCAAATATATATGCTCAACACTGTTAAACAATATATTTTTTAGACGTATGAATATTTTCAGCAAGTGCAGCAAAATATGTTTGTTGTTTCCTTCCTTGGTTATAGTTAAAGGAATAAGAAAATTTAACCCTACTTACCTGAAAATTTCCTCTCTGAGTAATAAGGCGCACAGATCCATCACAATGGGTATGTCAGCCTATTTGAAGTTAGGGGGCAGAACCAGACCTGTCAGTCACTGGCAGTATGGGAATGCTCCATCCCCGCAAAGTTCTATCTAGTTGAGATAACATCCACAGCCAAGACAATTCGAACAGATTGTGCTTAACATACTTTGAGGAAGAAGCATGATTTCTCCTACTAAAGAGCATGGCAAATTACACCTAACAATGACAAATCCAAATTCTTGGATGTCAATTTCCAACTCTATTCTGGGTAATCCATTGGTCTCCCATGTGGTCCGCATCTCTAATTATTACTTACCTTATTACTCTAAGAAGGGAAATCTTCAGGTAAGTACGGATAAATTTTCCTCTTCTTCATGCTAAGGTTCACAGACCCATTACAATGGTATTTTCATAATAGTGTACCTCTAGGGTGGGAAGCAGGATCATCTTTTAAATGCGGACATCCAAAACAAGGTAGATTATATATAAATAAACTACATCTTCCCTGAGGAACCACAGCATGGAGACTTCTTCCAAAAGAGAGTAAATGGCAATGGCTAAGATTGGATGACCAATATGAAGAACTTGGTGAACTTATGAATTGATGTCTATGTGGCGGTAGCGAGGAGGCATGGCCTTCCTCAGTGGTTGACAGGGAGGGACCAAAAAACACCCCCTTGGTGGGCAGAACCAGGAAAACCACGCCCACCCCACCAGAAGTTATGGGGTGGGACAGGAAGTGGAAATACAAAAGGCGGGCCCTGCAGCTCAGTTGGGCTGCAGCTGCCGTGCTGAGGACTGGCCAGATCTCCCCAGGTTGCCAGCCTACAGAGACCCTAAGGAGCTGTTGGGGCTGCTGCCTGAGGACTGAAATTAATGGGTAGGTATATGAACTCTAGATCATTGAAGCATACTTGTTTATGAGATCAGAATTCCAACAGGCTCTAGTAAGAACTGGATTTGTTTCTGTAGCCCCACTTGTTTTCTATTACAGCCATCTTCATCTTCTGAAAGGAGACCATGTACTGGATAGTATTCATCCTCAGCCCAGATCTATGACTGACTTCCCTGGCACCACATGTGAATGTTTGTTCTAAATCCAAGATGCTCCAGAAATTGTATCACTTTGTGTTTGCTCCAGCTTTCTCTGTACAGAACACTGATCAGAAAAACTGTCCCGGAAGACGTAACTGAATTTCCTTCTTCCCTAAAGCCAGTATTATTGCTACCATGATCCCAAAGAGACCCAGAGAGAGTACAGGTAAGATCAAATGGTGAAGATCAAAACTGGGAAAACAAAAAGGCAGCAATCTACCTGCAAAACATAATTATCTGGGGATAGTAAAATGGAAATACTTTGAAAACAAGCCTGCTTTAGGAACTTATTTATGTGTCTCAGACAGGGACCTGCTCTGGTTGCCTTTCATTCTCTGAGGCTAGAAACAGGATGGGGAGCGGGTTATAATTATCCAATCTGAAACAGATGAGGATAATTTCATTCATGTTATCACCTCTCTGTGGACTGCTGAAACAGGGAATGGAACAAAGCTGTTCCTGAAATTCTTGCACAGCTCCAAAAGTTCCATCCTTTGGACAATGCCCAGTGACCTTACTGATCAAAGTTACAGCCAGCCCTTTCCTCCCAACATGAAAGAACCTCACACAAATCGGGAGTCTGGATGGAAGACATGTAGATAGTTCTGAGGCAGCTACTGGCTCTGCACTTGTTCTAACTACCATATGCAAAAAGGTATTTTTTCCTGTTGTACTTCCGGGACTGCTTCAACCCATCACATGACCTGTATTCCTCTATGTAGTACCTGGCAGAATTCTAAGATGACTCTTCTGAGGACTCTGAATAGCCTCAGCTACAAGTTTCCACTGTATCAGTAAGATAGATGGGAACTGATTTGTTTGATCATCTGACCCCAAGGATCAAAGCTCCACAAAACTGCATGAAACAGATGTGAATTAATACCCCTTATCCCCAACCAGGGAGTAGCCAGCATTAGGCCATGCGATTTTATTTTTTACGTTGAGAGGGGTTGTACTTGCAATATTGTCGACCCATGTTAACACTGCTTGTGAAAGCATGCAGGGGCACATTGTATGTCAGATGATAGCCCGTATTTGCCTATTTTTGTTGTTCTGATGCCCCTGAGAATTTGCATACCTGAAGAAGGGGTTGTAAAGTGCCAGTACAGTGTGACCATTCTTTCCGGTGAAATTCTTCCCCATTAGAAAGGAGACCCTGATCACCAGGAAAAATGATCACATTTATCTTTGGTAGTGGTACCATGTTGCCTTTTGACTGTGCACACTGAGAAACCTTCTGGCCTCACAAAATGGAGGCTCAGAAGAGGATGAGGTAAAAAGAATGGAAAATTTCTTACCAATAATTTCCTTTCTGCTAGTAACATCTCCCACAATTCTTGACATCTGGGCTACTCTCCTCTCTTCAGCTCATGAAGGCAGATCAGCGTTTTGGAGATGCATGGTCTGTCCATGCCCTCATAGCTCCCGTTTGCTTCCAAACAGGGATGCTGGAATCGGAGGTGGAGAGGTGGGCAGGGGAGCTATGCCATTCCCCCCACACACTATTAAAAGTGGGAGAGCCATGCCCGTCCACTTTTTAATATGGGCATAGTACCCTCAGGGAGGCATGACAGGGAAACTAATAAGGTGATCTGCTCCCCCACTGCAAAGTACAGCCCCTGCTAGCCGCACCAGCCTCTTCCCAGATGGGGGGCTGAGGTGGGCCTTAGTCCCACCCCTGCTCCTCCTCTTCCCCCCAAAGCCCCGCCCCTGGCCAAGACAGAAGCCAGAGCCAGGCAGTAGTAAGAACCATCCAGGGAGCCAGGCGCTGCTCTTGGGCACTCCAGCCCCCCCAACCAGGGCAGGTAGAGGGTCTGAGGCTCCCCACAGCAGGCCAGGCTCCCTAGTAGCTCTTACCACTGCCTGGCTCTGGCTTTCGCCTGGCTGGGGGATCAGGGAGTCACAGTTCTGATGCCAGTGCCCCCCCACCATTTCTACACAGGTTCCGGCGCTCCTGCTTCCAGATGTGTTATTCCCAAGCTGTAAAACCTACATAACATCATTATTAATATTTCAGAGATAACAAAATAACTATGTATATTAGACCAAGGAAGATGGCCATATGGTAATGATTCCACTTAATATCTGGCCCTTGACTCATGAGCCCTCACGGGTGGGTAGAATCATTGGAGACGCTGCTAACAGAAATGAAATTACAGGTAAGAAATTTTCCGTTCTGCAGCCCAGTGTTTCCCACAATCCTTGATGTCTGAGAAATAGCAAGCAGTAAACAAATGTAGAAAGGACTACAGGAAAGGTCAGAAAAAGGAAAAATTGTGTCCCCTCCCCATCTATAATATTTGCTCAAAGGGCAAAATCATTTCTAGGCACTGCCTGCGGCACCTTTCTGCCAAAGGATGACTCTGCAAAGGACAGGAAGTCTACCTTGTAGCGCTTGATAAAGATGGTAGCATTTGACCAGGTTGCCACCTTACGCATTTCTGCTGTGGATGCAGTGGCTCTTTCCATATGTTTGAGGTAAATTTTCAGAGCCCTTCTGACATCTAAGGTGTGGCACCTTTCCTCAGTAGGATGTTGTGGCCTTGGACAGAATGAAGGTTCCTTGGGAAACGTGAAAAAAAGAGTTCTCCTTTGGAATAAACAATTCCCAAGTCCTGAGCACCATCTTGTGCTCATGAAACACACTGTAAAGTTCCTGAATAAAGAGTGCTGCCAATTCTGACACTTGTCTGGCTGATAAGATGGCTATCAGAAAGTAAGTTTTGATGTACAAATAAAATGCTCACACTGACATCAATGGTTCAAAGGGATAGTTTCTCTGGACTCATTACAATTTGGGGGGGGGGGAAAGAGGTCTAATTGCTGGCTTGGCTAACCAGACTGCACTAGGGAATTTGTGTACCTGGGGATTCTCTACCAGAGAACCCACAGATCCTGCAAACATTGTGCTACTAAGGACAGACACCTGATGCACAATGATGCTGGATTAGAGACCTTTGTCAAACCCTTCTTTAAGAAAGTCCAAGAAAGCCATAATTCCTGGATTTCTAGGATTTACTTCATATTCCTGGCACCAGTCGCAAAATCTAGTCCAAAAATATACTCTTCTAGAAGACAACGCAATGACACAATCGCTTCCCTTTCAACAGCCAGGCTGTTAGATGTGGCTAGTTTGGATTTGGATGAAGCAGAGGCACCTTGTGAGGATGTCCTGTCTCTTTGGGAGCTGTAGAGG